ACTGGTACAAGCAGCAAAAATGAAGCAGCAGTCTCGTGGACAGACCCTTACTTTGAACGGCGGTTCAAACCGATGTCGAGCGGTTGAAGTTCCTTTGTCAGATCTCCCGCAATAAGCACAGCGTTCATTTGTTTCACCATGTTTTTCACATCAGCTGTGAGATGGGCACCCATGGAGTCACAGATTAACAGCGATGGTGATGAGTGGAAAAAACCACCTGGTCTCTTTACATTCACCTCCCTCAGCCACTCTTTCATCATCTCCTCAATGACGAGATGAGGAGTTCTGCATAAAGCACATACCTGTTCTTTTATTCACAATCCACGCCCACACTTCCCCCTTTAACGTTCTCATGGTGGTCTCAACAACACACATAGGGCGCGCCGCACATTTTGAGGGAAAAAAACACGTTTATATGCGCCTTATAGTCGTGAAAATACGGTATATTCCATTTTCTTTTACTGACTTAGTATTTTCTTTCTTTCTTTTTTTTTATACAGATTTTTCTGTAAAATGCAATATAAAAAGAATCAAATGTGTAAAATTCTATCTGAAAAAGACAAAATTAATTTAAAATATCTGTAAAATAAAATCTTATTTTTTTTTCTTCTTCAATAATTACATTTGAGAAAAAGGCAAAGTAACTCTCCTTTTGTAAATGTTTCATTCCTTGATTGTATTTAATCTCCATTTACAAAAAATGGTCTTGCAACAATAATGGAACAAAATTTAGTCCATAATTTAGGTTTCAAGAAAACAAATTCAGAAAACGTATTTTATTTTATGGTCCCGTCTGGAAGAGGTCACTAAGGGTTAAGCACACAAAACATTTGCAGCTACTTAGAAAGAAAAAAAAATGCATCCTAGATGTCACTGATAAACTCTCAATTTGAGGTTTTCTATTTTTTCTAGTGTTTTTTTTTTTTCATGTCTAGAATAAAACAATATTAGGAAAACTCATAAATGAGACAAACCTTCTTTAGTTTCTCGGCCTTCATTACAGTTTTTTTTTCCTACGTCTCTCTGATCTCAGCCTATTCGACACTAAAAATGCCGAACCAGCAGGCAGAATTTGCATCCGGATCATTTGCAACCGCTTTGTTGCAGCAGTGGCCTTTAGGTAAAAAACTTATCTTGTTTTAGGCGTTCATCCGAATGTAAATATTTGAGCTGCTATGGAAACTTTGACCACATATTAATTAAATGACCAATAAAACTATGAATCTTTTTGTCAAACAGTTGCACAATATTATACCCTATAAACCTACTCTGCCTCTCAGCCTTGATATATGGAAAATTCCCTGTTAAACCACAATGATTGGATGATACCAATACCATTCTTACATAAGAAATGTTTCACAAATGTCAATTAAAATAAAAAAGAAACCTTTTAACAAATCATTGATGGCTGCGATTCATGTGATCTGAATGCGTAGCCGAAAACCGGACGAAACCATAAAGATTATAGCGTTGAAGAAAGTTGAGTAAATAAAGTGCATAGTTTAAAGAAGTGCTCCTGGAAAAAGAGCTTTTTTTTTAATCAACAAAACTTAAGCAAACTAAGACACTTTTACAGAAGTTGGATAAAAGGGTTTAGAGCCGATCGCCAATAATCGGATATGTTAGACGTGGTCCTGGCGGTTTCTATGCCTCCATCGACTGAAAGGAATATGTGATTGCGCGGTTCCTCGTTTATAAACAATACAAACTTTAAACTGAATTTAAATAAAATGTGGAGCACATTTCAGACGGGAAGGTTAAAGTAGACTTTGCTTCCAGCGCAGGAGTCTGCAGAGAGACGTTCTGTTCTAGCTCCAAATAAATATGGAGGGACAAATGTTGAGTTTCTGAATTACAGAAATCTGTGATTAAATATCTACGCAAAGATTTCTTGAATTTTTATAGCATTTTTTATTTAAAAAAATAAAAGAGCTGGATATATTTTCTTCCATAGGATGGTGATATCGGTGGAAAACTGTGTAGCAAAGGTTTTTGTAACCAACCTGATAAAAAGAAAAAGGTGCAAAGATGCTGCTGTCAATCTGCTAAACTTTTCATTTTTATTGGAGCATCATTTCGTCCAGTTAAGAAAAAAACATGAAAAAAGTTATTTTGTTTTTACCTTTAAACCAAGATATATGGAAAAGGTTTAGGGCCACGGGAAAAAAAGGCCTGTTTTTAGTTAAATATGGGATAAGTCAGAATTCTGACTTTTTTTTCCCCATTCAAACTAAAAAATAAATAGAAAATATTCCAGTGGCCCTAATCGTCTAATGTAAAAATAAGATTAAAACACTGAAAATATTTATTGTGAGGAAATCAGGAAACCTACTTAAAAAAAAAAACTGCAACAAAAAAACCTGTCAAAATCGGCAGGTATGGCTTTTTTTTTTTAAAGATCAGCCAGAAAACTACAATCAATACAACAAAACAAAACATTTCTGCTACCTTAAGTCATTCAATAAAAAAACTGAAGAAAAAAAATACTTTAAATCTTTAATATTTGTTAAAACATTAACGGGTTGTGATGTTTTAGATAAGCTGTTTGCCTACGCTGCTATGAAACATGGCGCTGGCAGCATCATCCTATGGGAGGAGGAGGTTTTTGTGTATAAAAACACAAATTGGATTTTTGTTGGTTTAATTTTCGGCATCATGACCAACTGTGACGGATCAAGTGGTCTTTGTTTACTTAAAGTACGGCCAGATTTGTCCCAGTTGGACAGAATGAGGAGCTTATGGGATAAAATGGAGTAGAAGGGATCTTTGAGCGGTCGGCTACGGCGACCTGAGGAGCAGAGTAGGTTTAAGCTGTACTACGGAGTGGCTTAAAGGGATCCATGAAGGATCACTTCATTAAAGTTGATTAAACTCTAAAACCCAGTTGGGGCATTTAAGGATGGGCCGCTCTAACGTTCCTGTTTGTTTCCTCTGCTCTAGTGCTGCACAAGGAGCCTCGGCAGGTGTGTCTCTGCCTGCTGGAGATCGGACGCATCGTCTCAAAGTAAGCCCCCAACGACTGAGTCCTCTGACTTGGTTTTGATGCCATCCTGACCTTCCTGACTCTGTCTCAGATACGGCGTGGAGCCGCCGGCGTTGGTGAAGCTGGAGAAGGAGATTGAGCTGGAGGAAAGTCTGCTGATGGCAGGAGAACGCCCTCCTGCCGTGCAAACCTTCAGCGTGTGCTGCCAGCATGGCGCCCTCTACCATGCCGAGGTCAGTCTGCTCCCCTGAAGGTGTACAGCTGATGCGAGGCCCGCTTAAAGATGAAGCTGAAATCTTCCCGCTTCACTGACGCATCACAGCTAACATGTGATTTCCCTACTGGGTCACACGTGCCGCCGACGGCTGCAGATCACACATGTGGACGCAGACATTCTTTGGTCAAAATGTTTGAAGGGTTTATGAGGTCTGGTTCAGAACATCGGGTCAGTTTTCCTAAAAATACCCAGAATCACTTTGGATTCTGATGACATAAACGTTTTTCTTTCCACTGAAAGCTCAATATTCCACTTTTTAACCTTTAATGTGAAACAAATCAGCTCAGCTGATTGGTCCGGGAAGGAGGCGTCCCTCCTGGAAGCAGCCGAAATATGGAGGGAATTCCTTTCCTTTTGAAATGAGGAAAGAAAAAGAATTTCCATTAGTCTCCTGGACTTCGACATGACGTTTTTTATTAGCCGAAAGCGATTGTTGAAATAAAGGGAATTAAATCTTTTTTAACATATTTTGAAAAATAAATTTGTCAAGCCTCAACCTGAAAAAGAAATATTTAATAATATGAAATAAAAAGTTTTTCAAATATTCTAGATTTCATTTTTTTTTTCCATTTACAAAACAAGTCCTTTGCTTGTAATGTTGGAACAAACCTCTGGAGAGCAACTCTGGAGGAGCTGCTGCGCTCCATGGCAACCTTAAACTGATGGTCTGTTTCCCCCTGTCCTCTAGGAGCACGGCGGGGACGACCCACCATGCAGCTGCTCCAACAAGTTCTCTCTGGAGTATCTGTCTGAAGGACGCTACCGGCTGGGCGATAAGACCATCTTCATCAGAGTGAGTATCTTCGATGTGCCTGGTCGTGCGTAAGCTCGTTAGCCAACGGCGGCGGATGGTGATTACATCATGATGACGCTGCTGTTGGGGGCACACGCCTGAGTGCAGGCGGGTTAATCTGCATCTGCTGCTATTTATGGCTAAAATGAAAGTGTGTCCCTATTGGCTGACGCCGTGGAAACGTTTGCTCCTCAGATGCTGCGTGGGAAACACGTGATGGTGCGCGTGGGCGGGGGCTGGGACACCCTGAGGGGCTTCCTGATGAAGCACGACCCTCTGCGGGTGCTGCAGTTCACCACGCTAGAGCAGAAGATCCTGACCTTCCAGAAAGGGCCGCCTGGTTTGGGGGGTCACCATGACAACACGCCGCTGCCCCCTTCTCCTGAAATGGACCCTCTCGCCGAAATCGACGACCTGGTCTCCTCCTCCTCTTCGTCATCCTCCTGCTCTTCCTCAGGGTCGACCAGTAAGCCCACGTGTCACTCATCCACCCCCTCCCCCTCATGCACCCCCACCCTGTCAAGGAAAGGTAATGCAATGCCCAGGAAGAACCTCCCGAAAACCCCCTCCTCCTCCTCATCGTCCTCCTGCTCTTCATCAGAGGCGACCAGTAAGCCCACATGTCACTCAAGCACCCCCTCCCCCGCCCGCACCCCCAACCTGCCGAGGAAAGCTTCTGCCATACCCAGGAAGAACCTCCCGAAAGCCCCCTCCTCCAGGAAGCCCACCGATCTCCCTCTGGCCGCCCCTAAAGCCCCCTCCCCCATATGCAAATCCTCCAGGCGGCCAAGGGACGGACCGGTTCAGCGTGGCACCCCGAATCTAAACCTCCCCAGGAGCCCCGTCTGCCCAGAGCCCTCCTCCAAGTGCCCCAAACCCTCCACCCCCACGCCCCGCCCCAACGCGCCCTCCAAAGATGCTCTGCCTCCGTCCGGCTTTAATCAGTGCTCCCGGCTCGCGCAGAGGCGCCCCGGCTCCCCCGCATCGCGCCTCCGTCTCCAAACAACCAGGAAAGCGAGGGCGGCGCCGGAGCCGAGGAAAGGAGCCCAGGAGTCCCCCAGCTCTAGAACTGCTCCCCCCGCCCTGACACCCACCAGCAACAGGGCAAATATGAAGGACACGAACAAGGCAGCGGGACCAAAGGGCAAAGCTGCCGCCACCAGATCCACGCCGCTCCCAGTGGGCAGAAAGATCAGGAGAGAGGATCCATACTTTGAAATGAGTAATTAACGTCAACTGTCTTTGTTTGTTTTCGTTATTTAATAGTCTGGGTTTTTTTTTATTTACATCTTAATGGGTCAAATACGTTTTCTATTAAAACGAATAAAACTCCAACTTGCACAATTTTTACATTTTTAACTTAGTTTTTACAGAAAAATCATGTCAAAGTCTTTTGTTTAAAGTGCCTTGAGATGATGTCAAATATTTAAGGTGGGGGGGGGGGATTCCTGGCTGCTCTGTGAAGAAGCACTACGTCCCTGCAGCCTCCTCTTCCTCATGTGCCTTCATCAATCTCCCTGTTTCCAAATGACTGCAGAACATATCAGGCAGAAGGTGACTTCATTCGTACTAGGGCTGTACAATTTTGCAAAAAACTCAATTACGATTATTTTTAACCAGAATTGCGATTTTTCTTTTCGATATTCCTTTGCACTAACCGTAAGCTTGTAGATGTTTAATCCCAGGCTTTCAGTTTTTAAAACCTTGCTTCCCCAGAGTCTAGCGTTGCTGGACTTTACTGTAACCTTGGTGTAAAAAAGTCTTTACTTCTACAGTACTCCCATGCATGGATCTCTCTCTCTATAATAATCTCTGTGTGGCAACAAACACACTTTAAGCATTTTACTGCCACCTTAAGAGCTTGAGGGAGGATTTTAGTGTCTTACTCTTGTTAAATATAGTGTAATTAGAATTGGGTGCCTCTGTGATTTAAAAATTGTGATTATATTGCAAATGCAGTTAATTGCTCAGCCCTAGTTCGTACAAAACACGTGGAAGATGGTTTGGTTTTGGAGTAACTACTGATCAGATGCCTTTTTATTTAATTTAAACTCCGTAACACTGAAAACCTGCATTTAAACCAGAATCTGTCATATTCTTTGTGGTGTTGTTTCTAATTTTGTGATCTAAAGTTCTAGTTTTTTATGTTGTGATATCTGTGTAGTTGTTTATACAAACAAGCTTTGATTCTGTGCACTTTATAGAAATATTTGAATGTTTTATCTGATTTAATAAATGTTTTAAAGATTCACTGACTTTGTTTCCTTCCTAAGAACCGGTCATCTTGACATTTATGTGGGGAAAAATGGACATGAACGAAGCAAAATAACCAGAAATGCTGGTTAATAAGCTGGACAGTTTGATCTTTAAATGAATGTTTGAATTGTTGGTGCTTTACTGACCTCTTGTGGTAGCAATGAAGAACTACATCAGGAACAGCAGTGAGAATGAGAACCAATAGGGCACATGCATCATCATATGAGTAGTTTTATTATTAAAACACACATAAAATCTGTTTCATGTGAACATATTCATTAACATGAACCAATGCTGTTGCTTCTGTGCTCTTTTCTAACTCCTGCAGATTCTCTTCTGTTTTGATTCAGCTTGTCGACTTTTTTCACCTGGAACCAAATATCTAATCATAATTAGGAATCAAATCCCTTAAAGACTGAAGGGAAGTCTTTTGAACCATAAAGAGTTTATAAAGTGGCTACTAACGTTTCAAATATTTACTTCCTTCTAATTGAAAATAAAATGGACTGTTTCTTCCTCTGTTCATCATGGTTCACTTGATGACTTTTAGTGGGCTTTAGATTTCTGAAGGCCTCCCTGTTCTTTCCAAACAGATAAATGCAAAAGGATAAGCATTCTTCCCCAAAGTGGAATTAAAACCAAAACATAATCCTGTAAAAGCGTCACACAGAAATATTTGTCTGATTTTCAGAACTCGGCTGTTCAGCAAAATGTGCTTCTTGGGAAGGAATCACCACGAGGGTCGGATCGACCAATCAGATGCAGAGATTTGGGGTCATCAAATTACACGGCTAATAAAAGATTATCGATTTGCATCCTTTATTCAAAGCCACGGTTAAAGGATCAAAACATGTTATTGAACAAATGGTGCAGAAATGGAACCGTGTTAAAGCTAATGAGGCCGTCAGGAGGTGGATCAAATGTCCTACGAGACAAACTCCTCTGTTCATCTGGGTTAAGGAGGGACGTGCGGGTGGAAAACATCCAAGACTCCATAAAAAAAATCTAAGATGAGACGCAAAGTTTTCCAATCTCTCTCCTTTGGTTTAACAGGAAAATTAGTTGGAAGGAAAAACACCCATTGATAGCAATTTATTAAAACTGAAGGCACATTCAGGATTATACAGGAAACAGATCACTATACAGTCAAAATTAACTTAATGTCACTATTTGGCATTGCAGTTACATCACGGCAGGAAACTGAAGACATTAAATATCAATACATTAAAATACAAATAGGCTAATCTTACATGGCAAAAGTTTGACTTTAAAAGAACTAAATGTGATTGCTTCAGAAAATCCAAAGTTTTCATCAGTAGTCTAAAAGTTGTGCTCTAAACCCTGAGAAACGTCATGGCAACGCCCTGCTGTGATCATGAGGGTTCCTCAAACGCTTCAGATCAAACTATCATTTAATACTTAAATGGAAATATTACTGATAAATAACATTTCAGACCAACAGGCCTGCAGGAATAATAACTTCAAGAGAACCTGTTTGGCAACACGAAGTAGGCTGAACCCCTCATAGGAGGACACTGCTTCTATCTGTTGGGTTTTCTTTGATCTGAAGCCTTTAGGAGATAATGAGGGAAATCCCGCATCACATTGTGCAAAATCTGGAGGTTAAAAAGTCTGAAGCTAAGATCCGCTCCGCTGATTTAAAAAGCAGAAGAAGAAGGTAGTGGTTGAGGATTTTAGTGCAGCTGATGCGTCCTCCTTCCTGCATCGGGGTTAATCAAAGCGATGGAAGTGTTCCGCCGGTTTTCACAGCAGCAGCGGCGTGTGCTCCCCCGCCGGTTCCCGCCGCCTGACCAGCTGCCGCGCCCGCTCCAGCAGGCGCCCAGGCAGCGAGGGGACGTGGTGGCTCGGGTCCAGCACGTTGGTTTTACGGCGCTCGCGCTCCTGCAGCCACATGAGGTACGGGCTGGGCGGGAAGAACGGCCTGGAGCGCTCCCGGTACAGCTGCAGGACCACGCCGCACACGCCGAGCACCACCCACACCGTGATCAGGGCGTAGTCTGCAGCCAGAGGAGGGGGAAATTAAGAAAAAACAAAAACAGACCCAGATATTTTCACCGCGCAGCGATCGGAGGAGCTGGCGACTCACCGATGATTTGGAACGGTACGTCTGTGAAAACGGCGCTAAAGTTGCTGTTGAGGAAACGTTTCAGGATGTTGAGGGTGATGTAGGACAGGCTGGTATAGATGTAGGCGTTGACAGCCAGGATGACGGCGTACGCCCCCACGATCCCGCATGTGGTGATGTTCCCCTGAAACACATTTTTATTTTTAGAATTCAGATCCAGCAACTAATTCAGCTTAAATAGAAGATTAAGAAAACAATCAGTATGGAGTGAGTTTTGTTCCATTATTATTGGAAGCAAAGAACAAGTTTGTAAATCGAAATATATAAAAAAAATAAAAAAAAATACAGAAATGTCTTTAAAACATTTTAATAAAAAAAGAGGTAATAAGAGTAACTTTGCTGTTTTAAATTACTTTTTTTTTCTTTTTTTTTTACAGTTTTTAATAAATTATTTCTTTTCACTTCTGATGAGCAAAGATGCAGCGTTATTGTGGTAACAGTGATTATTTTCTAATCATTTGTTTATGGGACAGTATTAATAGGTGGAGACTGTCTGGACCTCTTTGTTTTGAATATAGTGAACACATTCTGAGGGGCTGGAGCTTGGTGGTGTGTTTTCCATCCCGCTTTCAGCATTTATGGAGGTAAAAGTTTTACATAATTACTTTGTGATTTTATTTGTTTGCCTGTTTTGTCAGCAGCCTGTTTTTTATTTCATAAAAGTCAAAGAAATATCTAAATGAAATTGAATTTCTAATGGTCTGTATGGATGACCTGAAAAACAGATTTTACATTAATTAAAATATTTAAAAAAAGATAAAACTTCTAATTAAAAATATATTTTTTTCCTGAAAAAAAGGAAATATATGAGAAAATAGTCAACCTTTTTTTTCAAACCTTTTTTTCCAAAAAAAATATTTTATATTTTTTCAAATATTATTTGCAAAAAAAATTGAATAAAGTTGCTTCCATATTTCTGATTTAAAAATTTCTGTCTGCTTCCTCACCACCAGGTGGCAGCACGGCACATATATAGTTAGTGAATTATTTCTAAAAACACAAAACAGTAAGGGAATTGAAGGCATGCAGTGGCTTGTAAAAGTATTCAAACCCCGAACACTTTAAGAAGGCGTCATATAATAAAATGCGTAAAAAAAAAAAAAAAATCTTCTTTTTTCTTTTTATTCTAACAGAAATATCCATACATTGGGTTTTCCTCTCATCAGGGATACCCAGTAACTCTGTGGTTGATTACAAATGGCACCGCCACAGCATGATAGGTCACTGATGAGTTGTTTTTCAGGTCAGCTGCAACACCTGAGGTTCATTCAGCGACCACATGGGGGTGGGGTGGGGGTTAAACCGCAGTCTCTTCAATCAGAGCAGAAAGTGTGAAATCTGTTACCTCTCTGGGCCACCGCACAAAGACGAGCGGAAACGTGACCATGATGCAGCAGAAAGTCACCCAGAAAACCACGTCTGAGTTCCTGAAGACATCCAGGTCTCCTGTGAGAAAACAGAAACACAGATTCAAAGACAAAAACACTTTAAGGAAGTGGAGAACATACAGACCCTCCCGTCAACAGACACACATACCCAGAGGAGTGAAAAGGACAATGGAGGCGACGAGGAAGCCCAGCATCAGGCCGACCACGACCACGCAGGCCATGACTGAGCCGAACCGCCACCAGCTCATCACCAGGAGGCCGCCGCCCACCACGCCCACTACAGCAGACACTGCAAGGCGGACTGCAGGGAGACACACCGCCCACAGCTCCGGTCAGCGTATGGACACATGAAGACAGGACGGAGGGGAGGAGGGCGTCTTACCATCGTAGTCCAGCTGTGTGGTCCTTGTGATGAGGACAAAGAAGAAGAACGCCGCAAAGCTGAATCCCATGCAGAACAGCTCTGGATGCAGGAAGAGAACAAAGTTATTAAACATTAAATAACGGGAACCTACCGTGCTTCATTTTAAATCTTTCCTTATTGTATAGGTGTCTAATTTTTGTTGCACAAAATCACTCGAATAAGATTTTTCCTCCTTATCCGTCCCAGAATGAAACATGACACTTTTATCCAAACAATCTGTACCTGAACGCACCTCCGACTCAATGTCATCATTTATACACCTTAAAATGTCTGAATACAGAAGCAGAGCCTGAATAAACAGAGCCTCCTGAAAAACAAGCGAGACCTTTCTGTATGGATAGTAAATATTATTTCTAATGGGCCACCGTAGAAAGTTCCAGTCCTTTTAAATCCTCTCAGAAACATTTGTGTTTTATAATTTTATAAAACTGTTTAATAAAATACTTCTACATGTTCTAATTGTTTTAGGTTGGAAGAATCTTGTAAAAAAAAAAAAAAAAGATGATAATAGCGGTAGCATCCCTATTGGATTTTCAGTGCAAATTAGCCTCATGCTAACTGCTAGTTGTCCAAATGTTTTACCGGTATATATATATATATATATATATATATATATATATATATATATATATATATATATATATATATATATATATATAGCAGAAATTCAATGACTTGTGAGCAGAAAGTTTTTCCAGTTATAGAAATGTGTTACTTTTTGCTAGTTTTTAATTTCAGAAGGAGAAAAAACGCTAATAGCGGTATCTTCCCGAAGGGATTTTCAATACAAATTAGCATTATGCTAAATAATATTTTTTTTCAGCTTTCATTCAGTGATAAATGTATGTGATTCATTTTTCTATATATATTTTTAAATACTTGCACTGTTTCTAGAAGCAGTGGAGACCCAAATACAAGATCGTACTTTTGGCCAATAAATCCCCTTTAAAGGGAACATTTCCACATATTCATTCTTTCTATCGTCTTTCGTAGCATGAGGTCATTTTTTTAAGCAGTTACTATTTTGGAAAAAAATAAAATGCCAAAAACAGTAGCATCCCTATTGGATCTTCAATTCAAATTAGCGCCATGCTAAATGCTAGCTGTCTGTGTCATTTCAGCTGTAGTTCAATGTCAAATCATTTGTATGCATTTCATTTCAATAAAAAAATATATTGTTGTTTCTAGAAGCAGAAGAGACCTAAATGCAAAACTGAACTTTGCATATTAAGACAATTTAAAGGAAACTTCTCGTATTTCTTCTTCCTATTGTTTTTCATTACAGGAGTTATTGAAGCTTTCTTTACAGCAAAAGGAAACAATTTGTGAGCAGAAATGTTCCTAGTTTGTATGGGGTCTCTGTTGATAGAAAACAACCGTGGGAGACCGAACTGACCCTGATGATGGATTAGATCGTCTTTTTTCCCATGTAACTCGCAAAGTGAGTTAAACCTTGAACTCTTGCACCAGGAGATGAAAATAGATCAGCGGGTTCAAAAGCAGCGAGGTCAGAGCACTCACCACATTTGAAGAATCGATGGCCAAAGAAGCAGACAAACAGGCCCGCCAAGCCGGCGATGGTGAAGAAGACCTTGGTCGATATTTTTCCTGCAACATGTTCATATCTGGAGTTAAAACTCAAAGATAGGATAAAGTTATCGTGATTGAATTAGCAGGGAGGAGAAGCTAACCGAGCGTCTGACAGCCATCCAGAGTGGAAGCGAAGCTGCAGGCGTAGGTGTGGGCGGGAACGTAGGAGGCGGAGGTGTTCAGCGCCGGGTCTCTGACGATGACGGAGTAGATGACGCCCTGACCGGGGATGGAGCTGAACACCATGCTGGTCTTATCCGTGGACTTTAACGTGGTGACCTTACGGCCGACACAGCGAGAGATGCCGTCAATTAGAGTGCCCATCAGGACGCTTACCCATCATGCTCTAGGTTTTTACCAGTCTACCGCTCGCCATCATGCCTCGCATGTCGGCGACGGCCTGGAACCCGGCGAACAGGCTGCTCTCTGACAGGTCGTTCTCAGGCAGGAAGTACTGGTAGACGTCGTAGAGCAGCCGCCAGCGCGTGCTGCTTCCTGTGGACGTATCGCAGGCTGGAGGAGATTGGCCTCTAAGAGAGAACGAAACAGGGAGCGGTTTGTGGCGGTCGCTGCTTCATAAACAGAAAACATCCTTTAGATACCAGCCCCGATGAACCCGAACGGTTCGCTCTACTGTTGGTGCGTCACATGCATCGTAAACAACAACTGACATGTTCTCATTCGTCAGGCAGGACAAGCTTGTTTACTTGGTTCAGTAACTGATGTGAGCTGTGATAAAGAGCTGGTATGAAGCTCTGCTTTGGTTTCTGCATCAGCAGGATGTTAAACCTCAGAGCAACTCTCAACAGAATGTTGGTAGAAAAAAAAAAAACACAAAAAATTGGCAGAACTTTTCTGAAAGATCAACATTGATAAACTTATGGAGAGAATTTTGTTTCATGATTGTTGCAAGCAAAGATGACATTTTGTGAATAGAAATGAGAAAGAAATACAACCCACAAATGAAGCAGGAAAACTTCCAATCAAAATAAAGTTTTTATCTTTACCGTTTTCTCCATTTTAGTTTTTTCAAACTTTAATATTTTTGTTGTCGTTTTTAAAGATTTTATTTTCATTACTTTCTTTTTTGTTTTTTTACAGCTTTATTTTTATTATTTTTTTATTGTTCTTACAAATTTTATATTTTTTTTTCTGTCCTTTTTTAAATGTTTTCACATATTTATGTTTTATTTTTTATTTTTCTCAATTCTTTTTATTTATAAAAATCTGTAAAAAAGAAACCCTGTTTTTTTTTTTCCAAGATTAAACATGAAAAATGAATTTAAAAAATACAAGAAAACTGCTAATTTAATCTCAAGATCTTTTGATTAAAATGCTCTTTCAAAGTTTTATTTCTGTGTTGCATTTGCTCCATTTATAAATGTACTCTTCTGTTTGCAACAATGTGACGAAATTCACTCCATACAAACTTTCCCTGCTTCAGATCGCAGAGTTAAATATATTGAGCTCAAACTGCTGCTACCTCTCAGTTATCCATCTTTCCTGTTTTTAAAATATTTTCACAATTATGCACTACTGTTTTTTTTTTTTTTTGTTATCAAATGTGAAAAATCTCTTATCTAGAGACAGTTTGTTTGTTGTTGTCCTTAAGTTTGTTTCCTGGTGACAGGAAGAGGAAGCAAAGCAAACGCCGCAGCGCCTTACCTCTCATATCCTAAATTTGCCGGTGCGAAGCGGATGGTGGTCTCGTACAGATTGTAGCGGATGTAGAGGTTCGGATCCACGTCAAGGCTGAACTCAATGTTGCACGCTCCAGGTACCGGTTCTGGAAAAACACCAAGGAATCAGAAGGGATGGAGGGTATGAAGAGAGCGCCGCACAATCAGTGCAGCCAGTCGCTCTTCCTCTGCATGATTTTCTCACTTTGTGGTGAAACCTTTTGCAGTAACACGCTTTGTGACTGATAGTGCGCAACTTCCTCATTTCCTACTCCTCAGACGAGGCTGAATAGAGGTACGCTGGTGTTTTAGTGAGAACTTCTGTGTTTTCTTCTTTGTGTTGTTTTTTTACCCGCGCTTGAGTAAGAGAGGATGACTCCGGTCCCTGGGACGGTTTCCTCATTAGGAGAAGACAGGAACAAGGAGAGCGACGTTTGGCCATTCTGTAGAGCCGACAGGAGCCCAGAGTCCACTGCTGTCAGAGAGCGACTCGGATCTGGAACCTACCAAACAGATGGACCTCAATGATTTATTGATGCAAAGCAGAAGCTTAAATCAAAAGGCAGCAGTTCTAACCTATAACGCAACGCAGCAACCCCATCGCCATGCAGGTGGTCAGAACATTGCTCCTGTAAGCCAGACCAACAACGACCTTAACAACCCCCCATTACTAACGGGTGGACCTGTTTTTCGGTTCAATTTGCCTGCTCTCTAAGCCATAACAAGGCTTTTGTTTGGGCTATTCTATAAAACCTAAAACTCAACGCTACTCCAGACATATTGAATTGAGAACACTTTCTGGAAGGGAAGCGAAACATCTTCAAACTTGGAAAACAAAGTCCAGTGGTTTGTTTTAAGACAGTTCTGATTGTCTATTTCTGTTTGAACTGTTCCCGTTTCATCTAATTCTCATTTTCCTCTACCAGCTACAATTAGCAGCATTAAAAACCTCTAATCAAATTCGTTTAAAATGAAAATCTGCTCTGCTCACCTAAATCTGAGCTATCCATAAATGTTAAATTTACTCCCAACCTTTAGCTTTTCAAGCTAATAAAACAATTTTACAAGATGAAAAAACAGCTGAGATGAGAACTAAGAGGTCAGTTAATGATTGAATAAACTAAGACATGATAACAGACAAGAGAGGGAACGGTTGGCGGCAGCGGCTCCAAAAGATTAATGCAAAAGAAGCAACAATCATGTATAAACGGCAGAGAAATTTAGCTCGATTTTACCTAAAATAAATACATAAAATATTGATTGCCATATTTTAATGTTTAAGAGGAAGTTTTGCTAGAAACAGGGGTGATATCATGTGATGAGGCCTCCTGCTTTAGCTAGGTTAGCACAGCTAACCTAGCTAAAGATGGTTGGTAAAGATGGTTGAACTGTTGAACCACAGTTCAACCATCTTTACCTAAAGGGAAACTATTAACTCAGAGATTTCCATAAGGCGGCCATACATTCTAAAAAATCCAGTTTGTCCACAAACGTTGAATGCCAAAAAAAGTGCTTCACTCTTTTTTTAGCTCAGCCTTCCTGTTATCTGCTTAAAAATGTGCGTTCTGTTGGCATCCAAAGGAATCACAGACATATTGCTGTTTTGTGAAAAAACTTAAGTTTCTTGCCTTTTTAGTTTCTTCTTGTTCATCCAATCAATATTTAATCAGTCAATGAGTGCTCATCTTATTCAGCCAACAGGAAGTTTGTCACCTGAACAGCATCGATGTGAAGCAACATTAAAAGAAAGAAACCGGTGATCATTTCACTGCAAACAAACAACAAAATGTTCCTTTCCATCAGGGCTTCATTGTAACTCCACCAACAAGTTAGTTCTATTAAATTGGATGTAGAAGGTCCACTGGAGTAAAAAGTCACAAAATGATACGATTACTCAGAAGCAGATCACAAACCAATACTTAAAAAATAAAAATAAAAAACTGACAGGAATTACCGCCATGTTTAAACATAGATCTTAAACTGTAGTGCGTGACAAAACTAGCATCGGAGCTTTCCACAAAGTTTAAATAGTTTCAAAATTTTCATTTTTTTTCCCACTTTGTTTTGACATGAATTTTATTTTATATATGAGTTTTGACATAGATATTTAATTCCGTTAGCTTTAACTAATATATAGAATTTGCTAGCTAGTTTATTTATTTAATTTGCTTTAGTTTTTGTTTTTATTAGTTGTGTGAGTCTTATGAAATACGATTAACATACTGGGGACCAAAAAAAATCGAACTAAAATCCTAAATAACGAAATCCGAATCTCAAACAACCTTTACAGATGTGCCATCTGCTGGCACAATGTGGTACAGCAACAACAAAAAAAAACGTTATAGCAACAACCTGAAACTATACCTCATATTAAAGCAACATTTTTTGTAATAGTGTCTAAAACTCCTATTAAAGTTTGATTTAGTTTTTTTTTGTGTTTCCTGCATAGTCTAATGTTTATTTTTTTTTTCAGTTGACAAAACCTTTTAATTCTAGATTTAATTAATTGAGTAGTTTAGGTAACCAACAATAACCTCGCTGACAACAATAACGTTTGTAGCTTTATTGGGAAATTATTGTCATAAATTTCACAACAAATGATGCATCATTGTAGGAAAACATAAGCTGGAAAAGTGTGGCATACACATATTCAACCCCTTTAAGCATGGACTGGAAAAACTGATCTGAAATAAGTAAGAAAATCTTAAAATCAGTGGATTAGCCCTTAATTTAAGCAAGTTAAGAAGACGATCTGTAAGTTAAATTGGTGTTTTTCCACCTTAAAATTTGATAATTTGATATTATGGACATTTCTCAATTCTGCTTTTTATTTTTAGGGTTTTTTAATCCAAGTTTCCTGATTTCATTAGTTTTTGTTAATGATGAAAACCTTGGTCAGGACGGCGCAGGTTCTGTGTGGGTTGAATTGGATCTCATAAGCTACAGGTGGCCAAACCTCAAAGGCAGCGTCGTTCAGGACGCCGCCGACAGCAAAGAAAGCTAACGCTGCTGTTGGATTAGATTCTGGGAGGATTCAGTGTCTGTGTATTTTCAGGAAGGTGTTTTTTTTAAGCAAACATGATTAAAAAAACAAAAACACACCAGTAAGTTTGCTTTTTGTTTATTGAGCCAAAACAATGAATCAGACCACAAATTATTATCTTTTCTCGCCAATCAAACAGCAGGTTAGACGCTCGCTGCGGGACTGAAGGAGCATCAATTCTGCTTAACCAGATTCATTTTCAACCACCCCAGCTACATCATCTGACGGTGACATTTTGCAAGCTGGATATGAATAGCTGGGAGTTTGCATCCGAAGACAATAACAACGGTTTCCATGGAGATCAGGTTGAAATGGCTTACTCACTGTTTTGGCAAACTATCCATTAAGATGATTAGACCCAAATTTCCTGTACTTTTTTAATCTTCAAACAAAAATAAAGCTGAATATAAGGTTTCCTGTGAGAGAAAACAAAATACAATTTACATTTTGTACGAATGCTTGGCAGACAAAAGGCTAGTTGTCAAAAATATAAAAAATAAATATCTGAAATGAGATAATGGTTTGTTATTTTTTTATCTCAATTTTTTGGATTTTTTTTGGTTAATAAACAAAAAACTAAAATACTATTGTGTTTTTGTTTTCTTGTTGTGTTCTTTGGTTTCACACATACAACAAAAAAACAAACCCAGATTAGAAGGTGTGGCCTGTAGGAATGATCTAATGTGGCTTAGAGAGGAGGGCATCTATTCATTAAATATGGAGAACATTTTCCAAATTAGCTGAATTTTATCTTTACTTGTTTCTTTGAAATAAAAATTTAAAAAAAGAAATCACTCCATCAATAAATCAAATCTAGAAAAAAAGGGAAATTGATAAACAGGAAGTTCAATTTCTAGTATGCTTTTGCATTCTTGCTCAAGAACTAAACTTCCTCTTATTTTTGGGTCCTTCTTGCACGTTTCTTACTTCCTAAAGCTCCGATATAAAACCAAGCACAGGCTACTGATTGCAGATTTATTTTCTTCTACCGTATTTTGCAGCAGAGGAAGGAAATCTGAAAACTTTCCCAACCTGTGCGTGAAACCCTGGACCACAGGGAGCTTTTTTTTTTTCCTTCTTTTTTTTTTTTCCCCTCTCTCCCCCGTCCAAGACGGCAATGTCTGCTACTCATGACCCGTCAGACTGTTCATCAGCTGACTGGGACTTCTCTCAGGGGGTCAGCCGACCCGACTCACAAAGCTTCATTCATTACGTCGCAGCAGAACTAACTGCCTAGACATACGGCGGGAAAGAAGGCTGCAAATTCACTGTCAAGTTCCCGAGTTTCCACACGTCCTCAGACCCCTTAGCGTTAGACAGAACCTCAAATATAAACCAGTGTTTTTGTTTTTAACTCGTTTATGAGTGTTTCTCTCTGAATCCATCCCAACTTCGACAACCATAAGAAATATGCTATGAAAAACAGCTAAAGTCCCAAACATCCAGCCTTAAGCAAACACAGCAGGGCTTTCATTTCATTAGATTATGCTGATTAGTAGGAACAAACTGTTTGGATTACAGGAAACGTAACCATCCCTTTCATATTTCCCAGTTTATCTGCGTCTTTTCTTTCTCCCACCCACTCACCCGGGTGTACGACAGCGTGGCGTTGCGGTGCAGCGTGTGGAACTGCAGCGTGATGAAGGCCACCTCGGCAGGGATCCGGGTCACCACCGCCTGGACCGTCTCGTTCTGCGAGACGTTTATGTTCTGGAAGGTCCCCGGCAGGAAGGTCACACGGTCTGAGATGCCAAAAAAATAAATAAATCCATCAGTCGATAGGCTCATCTCCAGCAGTCACATGAAAGCACATTTAATCAACGCTGGCATCCAAGAGAGGGATCAGAACATTGCTTCAGTAGCAGATCAATAGATACCAAACCAAAAATAACAGTTATTATTACTTTGTTGTGACATTTTCAATGAGATGGTGCCATGTTTGGGAATGAGGGATGCAAACAAAACATATTGGCAATTTAACTACTTATCAAACCAAGGAAACAACAGTGCAGACCTCCACAGATATGAATATATGTTTTTTTTTTATAAAGAAAATAAATAAAAAAAATGTAAAATTGTTTTGGAGATAGCCTTTTTTAATTTTAAATATAAAAAACCACAAGGTTTCTTGTAAATATTGGACAAAATAATAGTTTATGTGCATGTAGTTTATTAGTCCTGCATTCCCAGGCAGACCTTAATCCTAATCCTGAAATACAAAAATTTAATAACTGTTGACTGACTGTTTTCCATCTATAAACAGTCTATAAAGGGGAGTGGCGGCCTAGTGGTTAGGGTGGAATCCAGAGGTTTTGAGTTTAAGTCCCACAGCCTGCCACTCTGGGTCCCAGAGTAAGACCCTTAAACCCACACTGCTCAGTGGGCACCGCACAATGGCAGCCCACTGCTCCCCAAGGGGGATGGGTTAAAATGCATGCAGATAATTTCGCTGCTCTGTCCCTGTGACAGTTTAATGACAATAAAAACCTGGTAAAAATAAATAAATGCACAAAATAGACTTCAGATAGAGGTTAAAGTTAGATACTTTAATGCATAAATAACCATAGAAATTATTTGATTAAAAGCTGGATCAAAGAAACTCACAATGACACCACTAGAAGGATTTTTTCTTTAGGGTTTTGGAAAAATTTTAAAAACTCTTCCTCCTATAAAGAAGAATAATCATTAAACTATGGATGTTTTAGTAAGTTTTTCCTTTCTTTTTTATAAAGATAACCTCTATTTTCTGTATGCAGTGGGTTTGCATTAATCTGATTTGCTGAATGAGTCATAACTGATCCATTCTGGCTGTTTAGTTTTATCAGATCTCAACGACTGACATAAAAACATGTTCAGTCTGTTTATTCTGTTGTTAATGGGTGGATCACACTCCATTAAGTTTTATCTCCAAATTATGTCAACTTGTGCTACTTTACTCAGATTAATTGCAGTTTTTTTGGCTGTTTTCCCCCCTACTGGAATCCAAAAAGTGTATCTTTAAAAAAAAATACATATTTATATTTGTCCTGTTCAGTTTCTGTTTTAGAAAGTTTGTTTTTTTAGCTAGCTAAGCAACGGCCGGTTTTCTTCACGAGCTCAATTACATGTCCTGCTAGCTTAATAAGAAAACCCCCAGTGGAAGACAAAAAAGTCTTTAAATAATAAAAATAAAAAGGTAAATTACACATTAACCGTGACTGTACTCACTTTCCACTTGAGCTTGTACTTCACCCTCTGAGATCAGCAGCAGCAGCAGCAGCAGCAGGAGGAGAAGAAGACGTTGACTCCACATCCAGCGAGACATTTCCCTCCGCTTTATCTACCAGACAGCGAGCCTTTTCAACCTGCCAGTGGTCCAGAAATTAGCGGAAACCGCGCATTCGTCCGTGTTTTAGCCCCACCGACCGCAAAGGAGACATACTGGACAGCTGAGGTTTGCTCACTGTAACAAAACTCCACTTGTTTCCCTCTCTATGGTGCGCCTGTCGCTCTGGCTCAAGAAAGACTCAAATCTCGCCCCTAATCTCGCGATATTTTGATAAGCGCGATTTTACCAAGTAAACTGGACGGCAGAGGATCAGTGCCACTGAAAAATTCAAATAAAAAGTAAAATGATTTTTGAATGTTATTTCAGTTTAATATAGGAAAAAAGTCTTCTCGGAATTTTGACTTTAATCTCAGAATTCAGACTTTTTCTTAGAATTCTGACTTTCTTTTCAGAATTCTGACTTTTCTTCTCATAATTCTGACTTTTCTTTTTAGAATTTTGATTTTTTTTTTCAGAATTCTGACTTTTCTTCTCAGAATTTTGACTTTAATCTCAGAAATCTGACTTTTTCTTGGAATTTTGACTTTAATCTCAGAATTCAGACTTTTTCTTAGAATTCAGACTTTCCTTTCAGAATTCTGACTTTTCTTCTCATAATAAAATATGCCCTATCACTCTTGAATCTTTCATAAAAACAAGCAGACATGAAAAACAACAATATATGAATAAATAAAAAATATTTATGAATGTATTTTCAAGAATGCTCACCTATTTCTTTTTCCAGGGAAAAAAAAAAAAATTGAGATAAACATTAAATTTACCAATTTGATGATAAACTGAGGCGATTTTCTACACTGCCAAAAGTTTAAATCTAAATAAGTATTTTTTTTTTCTTAAAATAAGTGCACTTTTTTTCTGTAATTGATGAGGTAACATTACATTTGAAATAAGAAAAAAACGATTGCAATGTCTTATATCAAGTTCATATTATCGAATTATCTTATTTTAAGAGTAAAAATACTCATTCCATTGGCAAATCATCTTATTTACCTACTTAATTTAAGGGTAAATACACTTAATTTAAGACTTTTTTTTAACTTATTTCTAGATCGTTTTTGCTGTGTAATTTTGAGTATTAAAACCAAATTATTTGGAGTTTAAACATTACATGCAGGTATGCATTCTATAAACACTGATTTATGGTAAGGATAAGCAACTTTTAAAAATACAGCTGTAAAAATCTGAAAAGTGTGTCGGGCCTTTCTGTTTACTCCCTTGGGGTCGATACTTCAGAACTGCCTTTCACAGAAACAGTTTTTATTTATTTAATTGACATTTAATTGACAGTTTTGCACTACTTTTATTTACATTTAGTTATTGAATTGTGCATTTTTATTATTATTATTTCTTAATAAACATTTATTTAATGTTTAAATCATGTGTTGAAAAACTAAATTTTCTCTAATATTTAAAAATTCAATTTAAAACAATTTATTTAAATATATCGGTATATTTAGTAAATTAAGTATTTTATAATTCCATAGTATATTAGATATTCAAATATCATTATGTATAAACAAGTAAATCAAATGTATTTTTTTTTTAGATTAAATATGTTTGGTTAATTATAATTTCCATTTTTCTATTATTAAATGATTTAATTGTGCATTTTAACATTTCTTGGTATATTAAATATTTAAATAATTTAAATGCATTTTTTATAACATTTATTAGTTAATTTATCATTTACAAATGTTTTCCAGTTATTAAATGCAACATTGAAGGATTTAATTGTGCATTTTATAATATCCTGGTATATTAAATATTTAAACAAATGTATTTTTTTAAAGAATTTAACTTATATTTCTTTCAAGCAATTTAAATGTGATTTCCTGTGATTGAAATATTAAAATTTAAATGTGATGAATATAAAGCTTAGCTTATCATTTTTTTCATGTGATTTAAATGTTTAAATCACATGTTGCATACATTTTTTTTTAAATTAAATGTAATTGGTTGATTATAACTTCCATTTTTCTATTACTAAGTAGGACATTGAATGCTTTAATAGTGCATTTTAACATTTCTTGGTATATTACATTTTTAAATAATCTAAATGCATTTTTATGACATGTAATTAGTTAATTTATAAATGATTTATAAATGTTTTCCAATTATTTTATGTTAAAAATTAAAATTAATTAGTAAAAGATATTTCCTTTACTTCATTTAATGGGACATTTAATTTTTTATTTTTTTTTTGCTTTTATTTTTGTGGTATAATAAATATACTAATCATGGGTTAGTTACATAAATCTACCTATTTCATGACACAATGTGTTTCTAGATACATTTTGGTCGTCCGTATAACTCGGGAATGATTGTGTAAACAATCTCACAATCCCCCACTCTGTGTCTCGCGACCCTGCAGGGGGTCCAGCCCCCTACTTTGGGGACCCCTGCTCTAATAAACCTCTAAGGCCTTCATAAAGAATCCTATTATTTCATTATTAACCTAATTAGTGTCATTAGTTTATTTCGTGGTTGTAAAAGTCTAATACTAATAATGTGGTTTGGTTCATTTCCCATAAGAGCCTCAGAGCTTCTGCTTCCACTCCTGCAGTGTTTCTACTAGATAAGGTTTCATTTCCTGTTCTTAAACCCTTTGACAACAATAACACAAGTTGTGAAACTGAGAAATTGTGTATCCACACGCAGAAACCAAAACATTCGAGCTAGTGTTAAATCAAAACGAACTCAGGCGCTTTAACGTCTAAAGATTTATTTCATTCTCTCACTCGTTCACACATTAAAACAACTCTGAACATTACAGCGCCAGCGGGGAGTCGGTGGGGCAGGTAAAGGGGGGGGAAGCAGCCTGTGCTCTATAAACAGCAGAGGGGCGGAGCTCTAACTCTTCCGCAGGCTGATGTCAGTGCTGGTCTGTAGCGGGGACAGAGATGTGTTCTCGGATAGATCTTCTCTTTTAAGAACGAGGAAAGCTTCCCGACTGATTCCCAGCAGTTCTCTGAGTCCACTGTTCTCCAGCTGAGAAAAAACAAAAACAATCACAGAGAAACACTTTTGGTCAGTTTCACCTTTAAACGTATCTGAAATGCTTCTTTTTTAGATTAAAAGACAAAGAACAAAAGTTTTAAACAAACTATAAATCAAAATAAACACTCACTTCACCTAAAAAGTGCTTTAGTTGTCAACCTGGAGGTTTTTCTAAGCAGAAACAGCCTTTTAAAGATAATCTGAATCAGATATCAAACAGACTTTGACTAGACCAACATTAAACCACCAATTTTTTGAGGCATTGTATTCCTGCGATACAACTCCAGGTATTCAGCTTGCAGGATATTTTCCCCCTCAGGTTCATCCCTAGAGAGCAGAGAAAAGAAGCTCGATCCAGCGCAGGTTGCAGCTGCCTAATGCTACGTTGCCATTTAACTTTCGCTTAGGGCAGCAAAAAAGGTTTGTTTTTGATGCTTTTACACATTAGGCTCAGACACGCATCAAGAACATCTTTGATGCTCATAAAGTGCTGTTTTAAGTGGTAAAAATTAGTTTTAATACATTTTTAAACGAGAAAGTCCACCTCAAAACAGTTCAAGATTATGATATTGCCTTAAAATATTAGTTGGCTGTCCGAGACGCTCAAATCCACATGTACTCTGTCTCTGGGAATCTCCTGCAGCAGCTGGGGGGTTTCCGCTACTATTCATGGCTGGAAGTAGATGTTAGCGGTTTTCATGTTTGTACTTTGTACAAACTGCATAGCCTGATAAACCAGACTAAATGTCAGATTAAATGTGTAATTTAGTTTCGCCCAATAAATGACACATCAGAAGATTGTTGAAGAGAACAACCCGTTGTTTTTCAAACCATGTCTGTGCCTATTGGCCAACACTCTGACCTGGTGGGGGGAGTGTAAACAACAACAAACAGCCTGTCAGTAAAACGGCGAGTACGTTCTTCTTAAAAATAATGAGCGTAAAGCCTCTTCCTGCTCACGTTTCAACGAAAACCCCAAGTCTAATCTTTTCAAAACTGATTCCAAAGTGGAGTTAAATGAGAACTGTTAAACAGTTGTTGCCATCTTCCTTGTTGTGCTGATGTGATTGGCTACAAACTGCGAGCAGCAGAATAATGAAAGCGGACATAATTTTCCGGCAGGTTTTGACATTTTAGGTTAATTTTGGAGTTACCGTATTTTCACGACCATAAGGCGCACCGTACTAAAAGGCGCAGTCTCAGTTATGTGTCCCATTTCTGTATTTAACACACACATAAGGGGCACCGGACTATAGGGCACGTTTTTTATATACAGGTACATGTCCTCTACTACCTTTAAATAGCTCTACTGCGTATTTAAAAATAGAGCGGGAGCAAAACTGAGTATGACTGTGCTTTATTCATGTATTTATTACAAAGTATTAATCAAACCTGGGAGCTGGCCATGAGACAGACACATCGCAGATGACACAGCGCTGTGATCACTCCTCTGAAACAGGTTTTTGACACATAAATTAACTTAAAATGCAGTAATCTGCCGGCAGAATATGTTCGCTTTAATTATCCTGGTGCCTGCCTCCTCGCGGCCGGCCAGAGGCTGCTGTTCAAGGGATTCCTACAGTCAGTGCACCGCTGGTATGTGGGGATCTGAGCGCAGGATGATAATCTGGATAACTGACTGCAATGATTAAGTTTTCAGGTGGATTTTCTCACTTAAAAACATATTAAA